TTGATCTGCATGATGGAATCCGTCTCCATTCTTTAATTGGTGTATAAACTGGGTCAAAAATCAATGTTTTTTAAGTTTGACCAAGCATATATACAAAAATATGAAGATAAACAATCCTAAATCAATATTAATATATACACTATCACATATATTTTCATAACGTATTAATTTAATTTGAAGTTGTTGATAGTTTCTTCTATATGCATGATCAAACTTAGAAATACTTGACTTTTTACAGAACTATACTCTATCTATTCAGGGAAGGAGGGAGTACAAGACACACACTGCTTAACTAATTTCCGAGAGAAAACGTTCTGCTGACCCAGGTGTAACACAAAATCTCATTTCCAAGCATTAACGGACAATATTTCCCGTTTCTTTTTACTCTGTATACAAGGTGTCTTAAATCAAACTTTATAAAGTTTAACCAGGATTATTAAAAAAACATGAACGTTCACAAGATCAGATCAATATCATTAGATGCACCATGAAGTTAATTTTGCATGTAGTTTTAGTATTGTAGATATTGGTATGTTTTAATATAAATTTGATCAAATTTTACAAAGTTTAATTTAAGGCAAATCTTGTGCGCCGAAGCAAAAAAAGAAAGGGAAAAGATCACCGGAACGTTTCCTGAGGGAGGTTCTAGGAAACACCTCCAAAGCCTCCTGCCACCTGATCATGATCAGGTGGCAGTTGTTGATTTGCAGTTGTTGATTGTTTCTTCTATATGCAGTTGTTGTCAACTATTTCTAAATCAATATTAATGTATACACTATCACATATATTTTCATAATGTATTAATTTAATTTGCAGTTGTTGATTGTTTCTTCTATATGCATGATCAAACTTAGAAATAGTTGACTTTTTAACGGAACTATACTCTATCTATTCAGGGAAGAGGGAGTACAAGACACACACTGCTTAACTCAACTCATTTCCGAGAGAAAACGTTCTGCTGACCCAGGTGTAACACAAATCTCATTTGCAAGCATTAACGGACAATATTTCCCGTTTCTCTTTACTCTCCATATAAGGTGTCTTAAATCAAACTATATAAAGTTTAACCAAGATTATAAAAAAAACATGAACGTTCACAAGATCATATCAATATCATTAAATGCACCATGAAATTAATTTTGCATGTAGTTTTAGTATTGTAGATATTGGTATGTTTTAATATAAATTTGATCAAAATTTACAAAGTTTAACTTAAGGCAAATCTTGTGTGCCGAAGAAAAAAAAGAAAGGGAAAAGATCACTGGACACGTTTCCTGAGAGGGAGGTTCTAGGAAACACCTCCAAAGCCGCCTGCCACCTGATCATGATCGATCGAACGAACGGCATTGTTAGTGCTCTGGCAGTTCGCCTGCGAACCCATGGCAAATTTACTTCATTTGGCATGAAATGTGGCAAATTTACTTCATATATTTGGCATGGGTTCAGGGGCAAACGCTTCCAGGAAACGTTCACCAGATATTACGGCCCCAAAGAAACGGAGGAAGTAAACAAACACAGCACACCAACCAGAAACCAAGGAGATCAAACAAGGATCGAAACTAGTCGCGATTACCATAGGCAGCACACGGGGCGACCTCCCAGAACTTACAGGGTTCATCCGGAAGACGCATCGCATACGACAGGAAACGCAGCCCATCATCAGGTCTAACAACGGCTACCGCCACCACCCCTCTACATCAAAGTCTGTCAGGGCAAGCAGAAAGGGTTTTCAGCACGGGACGCTACGAGCATGTATGTACAACCAGTTCAGTTCAGTTCATTTCCACACCCTAAGCAACCACTAGACCCACTTGTCATCGGCGCCTCCCGCCCACTTGTCATCACCGGCCCCTGACCACTTGTCATCGCCGGCCCCTGCCTCTGGCGCTGAACCTGGCGCTCCGGCATCCTGCTGGGGCAGTGGAGGAGGAGGAGGCAGCGGCAGATCATCTTCTGGCATTCCATCCTCATGCTGGGTCAGCGGAGGGGGAGGAGGCAGAGGCAGATCATCTTCTGGAGCCGCAGCCGGAGAAGCTGGAGTCTCCTGCTGGGTGATCGCTGTCGGAGGTGGAGTTCCTGGCGGCGGGCCTGGCAGAGCGGCTTCCAAGTCCTCGCACGGAGCGGCTTCAGTGGCTGGCGCCGCGGCTCCGTCGACCGCTGCTGGTCGATCGCGGTTGCGCTTCTTGAAGTGCATCTCGCAGATGAGCTCGGCATGCTCCTCGTGGTTCTTCCTCACGTAGTTGTCCATGCACTTGATGTAGGAGAAGTCTGTTTGGGTCCCGTCTGATGACACCACGTAGAAGCACCGGCTGTCCTGGAAAACGTGGTGCTTGTTCACCTGCGAAATCAAACGAGGCCGTTAAGATCTTGCATGTTTTATTATGTTGCGTCAGACAATAACACATTCCATCTCAGGGTTGAGCTGCCAGAACGGGAACAGTAGCTCAGAACACTGAAGGACAACTCTTGGCTGCTTATTGTCGAAACGAAATACGAAGGAATTGTTGATCCAACAACTGCAGAAACTCATGGCTTAATGCTAGCTATTGAGAAGGGCTATCAGCAAGTGGTTCTATAAACAGACTGTCAGGTGGTCGTTAAGTTGTGGCAAGCAGGCAAGTGGAGTCAGCAGGTGGCCAACTTTTGAGATAGATGCAGCAGCTCATCACAACAACTCAGGGATTTATCGTCTTCAGAATAAAGCTAAAGGTGTTTTAACTAAAATATATATATATAAGGCAAAAGGTAGCACAAGAATCCATACCATTATATGATCAATTTCACCAGACACCTTCTTTTCCTTTTCAGGGTGGTGCTCCAGAACTTTTTCTATGATAAACTTTTCGTCCTCCAGGGGAAGCCTTATGCCATCACTGCAACATTTAAGATAATGGTAAAAACAAATATATTTAATAAGATGGTACAAACAAAATAACTGTTTGGCATACCATGAAGCACACAGAGCAAACAAGTAAACTGTGAGATAATTTACCTTGATTCACGGAAGATCTTTCTGACCATTGTTACAATGGGTTCAATTTCTTGTAGAACCTTTTTCGCCTCAGCTGGCAGTTCGTACCGTGGCCTTGGTGGCCTCTCAACAGGAGGTCTCATTGGAGGCCTGCCTGGATTGTCTCTTTGGTCCCTCCGGTTTTCTTTGGCCTCCCATCCATCTGATTTCCAGCCTTTGTTGCTGCCAGAAGCATTGGTCTTCCATTTATCAGTACTCGAGTCATCGGCTTGAGCAGAACCCCAGCCATCCCAAGAATCTGGCTGCTTTGCATCTGAATTATCTCCCTGGGAAACTGGAGCAGCAGAACCCCAGCCATCCCAAGAATCTGGCTGCTTTGCATCCGAGTTATCAGGTCCATGGGAAACTGGAGCAGCACCCCACGCATTATCTGATGGTGAAGCAGACACATTACCCCAGGACTCCTGCTGTGCAGTAGAAGTCTGAGCCTTCGCTGCCACACTCCCCCAGGAACCATTCCCTGCGTCCATAGGCTCTGTGATAGAAGCTTTAGCTGCCACACTTCCCCAGGAATCATTCGTCGTGTCCATAGGCTCTGCAGTAGAAGTTTTAGCTGCCACACTTCCCCAGGAATCATTCTTTGCATCCATATGCTCTGCAGTAGAAGTTTGAGCTTTCGCTGCCACGCTCCCCCAGGAATCATTATGTGCATCAATATGCTTTGCGGTAGAAGGTTGAGCCACACCTGCCGCACTCCCCCATGGATCATCCTGTGCATCAACATTCTGGGTTGGCACATGACCCCATTGGTCTTGCTGCATATTGTGATCCTTCACTTTCATTTTGTCCCAGCTAGCACCACCTCCATCAGTATCCCCTTTACCACTCTGATCAGCCCAAGTATCAACTTCAGCTGATCCTTCAGATGCAATATTTTTGTCGTTTGCGTTTCCAGTGCCCCAGCCTCCCCAACCAGAGGAATCATTCTCCACTGCTGGGGGCGCATTCCAACATGACTTGTCTTGCTCTGCTGGTTTTGCAGCTCCTGTGTCAGCAGCTGCAGCTGCATTA